TTGATAATGTAATCAGATTTTTCGCGTACAAAATTACTTAGGGGAGAGTGGGGTAAAACGAAATAGCCGCAAAACGACTATTTGACGCAATTCAAGCAAAAAACAATTTTTTTTATAAACTTTTGTTTATCAATTTTTTTTTATTATCGAGCGTACTGATGAGAATAATTATTTTCTATTCGTCTTATAATTTAATTGATTAGATTAGGGCGATTTTTTCTTTTCTTTTTTCATTGATTACATACCCGAGCCTTGGAAAACAGATCACCGTCCCCCACGTGCAAGATTGCCTTCCGAGCCGAAGGCGAGGATGGCAAGCACGTGGGGGACGGTGATCTGTTTTCCAAGGCTCGGGCATGTAATGTACTAGTTCTCATTAGAACTCCCAAGAATAAAAAAAATTAATAAACAAAAGTTGATGAAAAAAATTTAATAAAAAAATTTATATTTTTTTCTAACAATGAATCTCTCAAATCGCTAGATTTGAAGTCAATTCGAATGAAGCATGTCTCAACGAATTCCACTCTATTTATTTCTACTCCAGGTATTTCCATGTGATTTTCTCATCAGATTCTTTTCTTTATTAAACAGATTCCTCGTCCCTTATTAGAATTTCTGCATAACGTGACATAAACAATCGAATGAAAGGAGAAAAAAGTCAGCAAATCCTCTTCTTTACACTTTAACTCCAGATAAGAAGTAAAATCCAAGCAAGACTGAACCAATTGACGAAAGCTAAAAAATAAAAAGTGGTAAAGATAGCGAGAGAGTTTCAAAAATCATTTCTTTCGTCTCATTTTTTTTCAATGTCCGTGGCCTTCTGGCAATTTTCACCAGACAAACGAGGTGGGGGAAAAATAAAAATCTTGCAATCGATTCAGCATCCGCCATTTAGCGAGGCCGAGGGCCCTCGACACGCGATGGTGGTTGGTGAAAAAAAACATTGAACCTTCACGCGTGCCCCTCTCACCCCACCCCCAGCCTCAAGTTGCTGCGTGCAGATAATCAGAGCCGAAGTGCAGGCATCAAAGACTTTTTCCTCAATGGAATTGTTTGTGAGAGAAAGGGAATTATTTGGTATTGAAATTCAAATTGAGGGATGAATAATTTTTTTACGTGAACTGTTCAATTTCTCTCTTTGAAGACTAAAGGAAAGAGATTGTGAGAAATTCCAACAAAAAAAATTATGCAAATCCAACTTGTTGATTGAATGTATTTTTCTTGAGCTCAAAAATAAGAAAATTTATCGAGATCGTGTATTGAATCATTTCGGTAATTAATTTCAACAATTACGTCATAACAAAAAAATATAAGAAAATTAGGGGGCTGCCCCCTGCTCGCTTCGCTCGCCAATCTCCATATAACCATCATAATTCTTATTCTGACCCTCATTATACCCCTCATGACCTTTAATCTGACCCATATGATCCTTTTGACCTTCAGGCTGATCGTTGTGGCCTTTAATCTGTGCATTGTGGCCCTTAATCCAACCCTAGTGACCCATATTCTGACCCTCATAATCCTTAACCTGACTCTTATGACTTAATCTGACCCTTGTAACCATTAATCTGATCCTCGTAACCCTTATTCTGACCCTCATGATTCTTAATGGAACCCTTGTGACCTTTTGACCTTCAGGCTGATCCTTGTGGCCTTTAATCTGTGCCTTGTGGCCCTTAATCCAACCCTCGTGACCCATATTGTGACCCTCATGATCCTTAACCTGGCCCTCATGACTCTCATGACTTAATCGGACCCTTGTAACCATTAATCTGATCCTCGTAACCCTTATTCTGACCCTCATGATTCGTCATCTGATCCTCGTGACCCTTATTCTAACCCTCATGATTCTTAATGGAACCCTTGTGACCCTTCTTCTGACCCTCGTGACCTTTATTCTGATCCTCATGACCCTCGGGGTCCTTATTTTGACACTTATGACCCTTATTCCGACTCCCTCGACCCTTATTCTGACATTCATGACCATTATTTTGACCCTTGTCACCCTTAATTTCAAGTACCAAATTTTATCACCAGAAGTCGATTTTGATTTTTATAATATAGAGAGCTATTCCTTTAGTTTCAGCTTCACTCTGGAGCTAATTGAAGTTAAAATACAAATTAATTTTGTGGGACTGATAACGACTCACCACGATACGAACAATACAATCCTCCTATCTTCCCTAGTTCCTCTTAAATTTCAAAAACAAAATTTCGTCTCCTACTTTCTCGTTCAAACCGAATGCAGATAAAAATTGTCATGCAACGATGTGATTTAGTTGGGAAAAATTCCAACTAAAGCACATCCTCTCATTCTCACCAACGAAAAACCAAAACTGGGAATACATTATTGAAATTGAAAGAGTTCTTGGAAAAGTTTACATTTCAAATGTAATTTCTCTCGAAAAATCGTTCATTTATTGGAAAATTCATTTCTTGAGCTCAAAAATGAGAAAATATATCAAAACCGCATGGTTAATAACTTCAATAATTAATTCTGACTTATTTAAATTGACTCTAAAGTTCATTGAAGTTAAAATACAAATCAATTTTTGGGGTTGATGACGGCCCATGATAATATGAACAACTCCTTGTCTCCCCTAGCTCCTCCTAAATTTCAAAAACAAAATTTCAGTTTCAACTTCCTTCAAACCAAATGCAGATGAAAACCATCATCCAACTGTTCTGATGTCTCTGACTATCCATTCCCCCTGAAAAATCCCAACTAAATCATATCCTCTCATTCTCTGCAACGAAAAAAAAATTAAAAGAGAATGACTCAAGTCATTTACTTATGACGAACGCGAGATTAAACCGTGACAGCGACGGGAAATTCGATGCGGACTGTGGCGAGTTGAGCATAACACGCTCTCACAAATGTACTGATAGCTGTTTGAATACATCGTGTTACGGAATGTCCACAGGATGAAGTGTCTCCGGGCTGAGGAACGCCAATAAACACGACAGAATAAAACCACTGTGAATCATTCTCGTGTTTCCATACTTGTCGGCCAGTTGTTCAAGCCAAACTGACACGAGCGTGACAAAACTCCACTGATAACGGATAACCGCGACTAAATATCGAAACTATTTTCTATTATTTTTATTTCAATGCTGGTGCAGACCAATTGCGTTTGAAACTGATTTTCACATTCATGTATTTTTAAAAAATTATTCTATTTTTTTTTCTTTTTAGGGAAGAAATTTTCACTCTCAAAAATTATTCAGAAATGAAAAATTCATCGCAATTCATCATGAAAAACATCACAAAAATAGTCATGAAATTTTCAGTGAAATTATAAAATTTCATGACTTTCCCTATGTTTGGAGCAACAGGAAGACGAGAATTCCCCAATTCACATGAATTTTCAATAGTTTAACAATGTTCACGTGTTGAGGATCAACTAATCAAATTTTTTTCATAATTCACCAAGTCAGCGCACCAAGTAGATAGTTAATTATATTTTTCCTAATTCAGGATTGATATTTTTCTCAAATGAATGATTAAATAAATTAATATTTGAAAAATAGAAAATCTCCGCGATGCGTCAGTATTTACCACTTGAAAGGCCCACGTTTCAGTTATTGTCAGCCTTCGGCGCTAGTTAATGCCAGGTGAAAACATCACTCGCGGCAGTGACATTATCGAACAATAATGACCAAAACGACATTAGGTCATTTGTAAAATGCGAAATTAATCGCAAGATGCTAGACTGAGAAAATTTTTTTTTTGCCGAATATTCATTTACTTGGAATGGGCATTTTTTTTCTCAAAATCGTATTTCTTCAATCAAGTCATTCACAGGGGAGCCTGATTAGGTTTCAATTATGACAATCACATTGCTCTAAACTCTAGAGTCTAGAGGATGACTATGTTGCACATGACCTTAGATTAAGTCCTCCAATGATTATTCATTTTTCCTAAAGTTCTTATTTTCTACAGGGATGAATTTCGATTAATTTTTTAATGTTAATAATTATTGAGGGAGTTCACTCAAGATCATAGCTATCATGATCGTTTTCTAGAGTAATATAATTGTCATAATTGAAACCTAATGAGGATTACCTGGGAATGACTCGACTGGAGAAATACGGTATTGACAAAATAAATACTTCTCTCAAGTGAATGGATATTTGGTAAAAATATTTTTTTTCCAGTGTATAAAAATTCTGATATGTTAGCTCGCTCTCAAATACGAGTGCAAGAAATAGGGATATGAATAATTGTGCGATTAAAAAATTCCCTTTAGACTAAAATGATTAGTTAACTCTTCTTTGGTAAATTTTGAATTCTATCCCCTAAAATATCGCTGCGGGTGGCAGAAACCGAGACAGCCACAGTTACTGAGATAATGAGTTTTTCGTGATTTTCTTGATATAATTGGTTTAAAATTCACAGTTTTCATTAATTTTTCTATCAAATTGTGAGTTTTCAATTACGAAATTTCTTGAAATTGCAGCGGAATTATAACATGATGAAAATTTCCAGATATTTCGATATATAATTGTAGACCTTCAAAATTGCAAAGTTTTATTCGATTAGTTTTATTTTATTCTATTATTTATAAATAATTATTTATAAATAATAGAATAACATAATAATACATAAACATAAATAATTACATAAATAATAATAATAAATAATAATTAACATAAATAATTATTTATAAATAATAGAATAACAAGACAAAAATGTTAATTAAATATCCCTGTTCTAGAAGATTTCATATTAATCTCCACGCATTCCGCCACTGGCCAACGAAATTCCCCTTTCCCATGCTCGCAATCGTCACTAAGACGACAATAATCTCTCTCTACATGTTATCCTAAAGTTAATTGAACTGGAATTTGTCGGGGTCAATCGTACGAAGAATGCCACCGAGAAAACAGCCCACTCATCATCCCTCGTTTTTTCTCCATCATTTTAATCACATTGTAATCTCAAACTATTCGAGATTTCGATGATCAGGGGTGAATGAACTTGTCTCGTATGATTGCAGGACGATGAGGAGGCAAAGGTAGAGGAGATGAAGGCGGAAACGCCGGCTGAAACACCGGCCGAAGGTGGTGATGCAACGACACCAACTGAAGGCACACCAGCCAGTCCTACCTCCGCAACATCACCAGATACAAAGGAATCCAAAAAGAAGGAGAAGGTGAGAGGGATATCATTTACCTGAGGATAATTCTAGCCCTCTGACTTATCTTGACCGCAAAGAATTTGCCTTTTTTGTTCGGTCTCGCGTTCAAAATGAAATTTTAATTTTTAATATTTTTTCGCAGACAAAAAAGAAGTGGTCCTTCAGGGCGATAAGTTTTGGAAAGAAGGACAAGACCAAGCCAGTTCGTGAGGACGCACCCAAGAATGGTGATGTCAGCAAAGAGGAGCCCCTTGCTGAGGTAAGTGAATGATGGATAAATCATAATGATTTGGGAAGAATGTGTCTGGATAATTTTTTTACGAAAGACATAATTTTTCATGAAAATTTTATTCTTTGATACGTCATGAGAGACTTTGGAAGAAAATTTTGAGGAAAATTTTCTGCTGAAAATTGCAAGTTGGAGGTTCTGTTACTTTTCTCAGCTTTATGATCATAGAATGAAAAATGGGGGATTTTGAGAGGAGAAAATGACTTTGGAATAGGAATATTTCCTGACCTTTTAAAAGTCAGATCTGAGTAAAACTTTGGAAATTGGTATTTCAGAATAAAAAAATCCTTTAATTATCATAGTTTCCAAACATTAATTGTTGATTTTAATAATGGTGCTGTGGCGAAAAATTGTAGGACATCCATATTTTATATGAGAAATTCAAGGTTTTTTAACGAATTTTTAATGCCCATAGACAATACAAATAATAATAACTCGTTGAAATTTCAATCAATAATAAAAATAATGTTTTCATCAAAAGTAAAACAATTTGTTAAAAATAAATAAAATAATGTCTTAAATTTTGCGCCAAACTTTGTAAATTGTTTTACTCGAATTGGATTGTGACAAAATCATGAGATTACGGGGTTCGTTACTTATTGAACTTCTTAAAGCCTGAACAATCAATTTCAACAATTTCTCCACAAAGAAATTGTAGTAAATATTTCTATTGCCCCCATAAACCACTTATTACCAAGGTGAACAAAAAATTAACAAGAACCTCAAATTTACCTCGTTAAATTCTTCAAACTTTGTCATTCTGCGGCTCCAAGGTAATTTTTCACTGAAAATTTTCTTCTCCACAAAAAAAAATTCATTTCTGTTCATTCTGGAGGAAACCTCCAATTACCAATCAGTCCCAATCACCTCTTTTCAAAAAACTCCCCTCAAAACTATTCAGACACACCCAAAACCCCAATAACTTCATCTCCGTGTCCGACCCCAATTTATCATCCCCGAATATTTCTGTCCTGCTTCCCCCCACTTCTCATAATTTGATAACCCCCGGGCTTGCTTCGATATCTGGCACGGCCTTGATTCAGCTCTCTCTTCCTCATTCTGAATAAGCCATGAGATCTGAGAGATCAGGCGTCCTCCTCGCACCCGGAAAAAAAATTGCATTGAAAAGGAAAATAAGAGAGCATCAAGAGGATTCAAACGAGACCAGGATTGCCTGTGTGTGTAGCCAAACGAAGGGCAAAACAATGAAAAAAAAAGGATCCTCGTTGAGGTGGGGATAAAACGACGAGTCCCCATCCATGACTCATCCTTCTGGCCTCCTTCCCTCTCCCTCGGAAACCGGCTCTCCTGAATTATCCTCCACTCGTAACATCGATCCTCCTTTACCTACGTAGTCTACCAGCCTCGCCTCGAAATCAACCTTCAAAACTACTCGTGGTGTACCACAAGTGAATTTACATCAACTGCGACTGAACTACTGTCTCGAGAGGATGAAGGACAGTACAGGAGACAGGACAGTTGTGGGTGGTTTCTGAATTACTGGAGTTGTTTGAATAATTAATATTAGTATTGAGGATAAAGGGTGGAGGATCGTTTTAGGGATATTTTTTGTTTAACGGCTTGGTTTCGGAAATATTGAAAGAAATTGGGAATCTATGAAGAAGTTGATTCTCATTATTATTATTTATTTATTGATTATCAGGAGAAAAACTCCCCCATAGATTCTCATTTTTATTGAAGGTTGAAGATTATTTGGAAAATAACTTGGAATGTAGTGAGTTTAAGCAAAAAATATAAAAGGAGCTTTTTAATAGTTGATGAAATTCTCGTCAAGAGGTTTCCGGGGATGGGCTTTTATACACCTTTTTTCTTAGAAGATATCGACGGAAATTAAGTTTTGAAACTACTCGTGGTGTACCACAATTAAATTCACATCAACTCCCACTGAACTACTGTCTCGAAAGGATAAGGGAACAGTTGGAGTTGTTTGAATAATTAATATTTTGGTACTAAAGGGTGGAGGATCATTTTGGGAATATGTTTTTGGTGAATGTCTTTGTTTTGGAAATATTTGCGAACGGAATGGGGAATCTATAAACAAGTTGATCCTTATTTTCGTTGACAGTTCAAAATTATTTTGGAAATAACTTGGGATGGAGTGGTTTTAGGATAAAAATATCAGAGGAGCTTTTTAGTAGCTTATGAAATTCTCTTCAAGAGGTTTCCTGATGGGTTTTCATGAACCTTTTTTCTTAGAAGATATTCGCGAGGGAAATCAAGTTTTGAAACTACTCGTGGCGTACCACAATTGAATTTACATCAACTCCGGCTGAACTACTGTCTGGGAAGGATGGGGGAAGAGGAGGCTGGACAGTTGGTGTGGATTCTGAATTATTTGAGTTATTTGGATACTTATTATTTTGGGATTACAGGGTACAGGATGATTTTGGGGATATTTTTTTGGTGAATCTCTTGGTTTTGAAAATATTTCCGAACGAACCTGGGAATCTGCAACAAAATTTGACTATAATTCTTGTTGAAGGCTCAATACTATTTTACAAATATTTTTTGGGTCGATGAAGTGCAAGAAATGTCTCAAGTCCTTTAAAAAGGACAAAATTGTGACTTATGAAATTATCTACAAAAAGATAACTCTCTAAACCTCCGTAAACCTCTCTCCTAAAATTGTTCAAATTATCCTATTCAAACTACGAATTTAGGAACAACAAAAACTAAAGGAAGAATTCAAGCAACAAGAAAAACTGTAACAATTCAGTATCAAAACGGTAAACCGGGTTAAGTTGATTTTGACTATTGGCCAGTTCCTTACGAATATCTCGGAATCTAAAAGAGATAGGAAAATTTTTGTCACGAACTTTTTTGTACAGCCAATTAAGGGTTACAAAAAAGGTCATGAGAAAACTTTTGCTATCTCTATTAGATTCCGAGATATTCATCAAAAACTGGTCAAAAGTCATACTCGACTTAACCCGGTTTATCGCTTTGCTACTGAATTTCGGAGTAAAGGACTGGCAGCTCCGAATTTTATTCATAGGTTCATAACGAAACGGAATACAGATTAATCATAGCTCCTAAGTTACGTGTTTCTGAATTTTCACTGAGATACTTGATTTCCGTTATCTCCTCTGAGATACCAAGTTTTAGTCGATACTCGTGAGATACTTGAGTTTAGAATGAAATCTTGAGAACGTGGTTTTGGAAGTGTTTTCTGTGTTACGTAGTTTCCTTTAGAAGCCATCGATTAATTCTACTTTTGTTTATCCAGCTTGTGAAAAAACCATAATTTTTTTTACAAATTAAACAGTTATTTGTTTATTTCTGTATTTCTTTTTAATAAATTCTTATAAATTGGAAGAACGTAGATCCGCCGTATCAGTTAACTAAGCCAATATCAAAATCATTAAATATCCCGAACGAGCTTTGTACGTCACTTGAGATGATTTATAGTGGAGAATAAATCGCTCGGAAGTCGATCGTAACTCCGACGCGTGGGTTAAGAGTAACTGGTTGTGGTTTGGAGGAAGACAGGATTCTTCAACCGTTGGACGAAAAAAGCTAAATGAAGAGAGAAAAATCAAGTAAGCGAGGTGATAAGATCTGCAATGAGAAGATAAAGGAGTAAGTAACGATCGATCGATGGGGAATAAATTCAAGAGAATCTTGGGGATACATAAAACCCAATGGAACCACTCCCTGTTTCTGTACCACGCGTATTTTCTGGGTGAGGAAAAAAAGGACGCAAGGACGACCCACACACGGTTGTCTGGATCCTTTCTTTCCTGCTGGTTAAGGGACGGTAGTTCTGGAGGAGTTGATGGAAACTCACTTGTGGTCGACAGGTTTGAAAGTACTCAAGTGGGAAAGTTTGTGCAATGCAATGGGATTCATAAAAAAATCTGAAGCAAATGCGAGACAAAGATTTCATAATGGTTGTTATATTGTATAAGGTCGTTACATTGTCTTGCCCAGCTGGAATTCGTCTACTTATTCACTGCGGTCACTGTCGACTCCAGAAAATTTGTGGATCTCAGTACTAATGAAGAGCGTCGAGACATCTTTTCTTGAAATCTTAATCTTATCTGGCAATCACTTCCCGAATTTCCACTCCATTCGTATTTTTTGAACGAGGATAAAGGGACGCAAGGATGACTCACAGTTGTCTGCATTCTTTCGTTCCTGTTGATTAAGGGACGATAGTTCTGAAGGAGTTGATGGAAATTTACTAGTGTTTGACATAAAAATTCTGTAGTAAATGCAAGACAAAGATTTCATTATCCGTATTTTGTCTTTCAGTTCGTGAACTGTTGCCTCAGAAAATTCGTGAAGCCCATGAATTGACCTCAGACAATTGGTGGATCGCATTGTGCCATTTTTTCCAGAAATCATGATTTAATCTGGTAACGTTTTTTCGAATTTCTACTTCATTCGTATTTCCTGGATGAGGAAAAACGGATTCAAGGACGGCCCACACACAGTTGTCTGGATCCTTTCTTTCCTGCTGGTTAAGAGACGGTAGTTCTGGAGGAGTTGGTGGAAACTCACTTGTGGTTGACGGGTTTGAAAGTACTGAAGTGGGAAAGTTTGTGCAATGCAATGGGATTCATAAAAATTCTGAAGCAAATGCGATACAAAGATTTTATAATCCTCTCTTGAGGAACCAATAAAGATAGAAAGGTCGTTATATTGTCTTTCCCAGCTGAAATTCGTCTAGTTATTTACTGCGGTTCACTATCGACTCCCGAAAATTCGTGGATCTCAGTACTGATGAAGAGCCTCGTGACATCTTTTCCTGAAACCTTAGTCTTATCTGGCAATCACTTCTCGCATTTCCACTCCATTCGTATTTTCTGAGAAAAAGGACGCAAAGATGACTTACACATAGTTGTCTGGATTCTTTCATTCTTGTTGATTAAAGGACTGTAGTTCTGGAGGAGTTGATGGAAATTCACTAGTGGTTGACAGCTTTGAAAGTACCCAAGTGGGAACTT